CCCTCCCCCAGGGCCTGGCTGGCCGGCAGCAGCGCCTCATCAGGCTCGCTGTGCGGACTCTCCCGGGACAGCTCGTCCATGCTGCTGTGCTCCAGCCCCGACAGGCTCCCGCGCTGTCCGCTGGTCTGCGTCCTCACTCCCCCGCGGCCCTCGGGAAGCAGCCCCAGACTCCCGGCCTCAGGATCCTACCAGGCCTTGTCCCCACTCTCCCGCGACTCCCCAGAGCCTGCTCCTGAGCTGCAGGCCGAAGAGGCCTTGCTGCAGGAGCAATTCCTGGATGCCTGCCGACAGATCGACGAGTTGAGCATGGGCAGCGACACCATAGACTTGTGAAGAGGTGGCCACCTCGCTGCCCCCGCCATAGGACGTCCCTTCAGGCACCTGCTCTGCCGAGACCTGCATACTGTAACCATTCCCCAATCCTGCCTGGCTCAGATACCTCTCCCGATTCCTTCCCCATCCAGGGGCCCTGGGTGGGTGGGTCAGCAGCCAGGATCTGTTGATTGGGAATGAGTGCCACCTGCTCTGGAGCCCTGGGAAGCTGATGCCCTCAGCTGCAACTCTAGGCTGGCAAGGGGTCCCACTTTCCTTGGCATTCTTCACCAGCAATAAAGTTCCAAGGTGCTCCACTCCTGACCACCACTCCCCACTCTGGTGCTGAGTGAGAGGGGCCATCCTCAGAAGACCTCAGGATGTGCCCCAGGCCACACGCCCACCTCTGCCATGTCCAGGAATCCCACCCCTGACTGAGACTCTCTGTCCTGCAGTGACCTTTCTGCACAGAAGGGTCCATAGTCCATCTAGGTGGCTTTACAGCAGTTGGGTGGAAGGCGAATGCTTTCTTTTTTTTTTTTCAAAAGATGACCGGTAAGGGGATCTCAACCCTTGGCTTGGTGTTGCCAGCACCACGCTCAGCCAGTGAGCTAACCGGCCATCCCTATATGGGATCCGAACCCGGGGCCTTGGTGTTATCAGCACCGCACTCTCCCGAGTGAGCCACGGGCCGGCCCGGCGAATGCTTTCAGAGTTAATTTATCAATAAAATATTTTCAGAGGAGAAAGGTCTGAACTTCTTGGAAAAGCTTAGATGGGGCAACAGCAGCAGTGGGTCCACCAGAAGTGGAATAGAAGCAGCTTTTGGGGGGGTTGCATTTACCTCAGACCCCAGTGACCTTCACCCAAGACTGAAGAATCTTGTCCTGTGGTTGGGATGTGTAAGGGTCCTAGGAGGAGCCCCTTGAAGACCCTTTGACTCCCTGGGAAGTGGCTTTTCACAGAGATGGAACACAGCCCTGAGAGGTGAGGCAGAAACTCTGCAGTCATTGGTGGAAATGCCTGTGTTCCTAAGGAGCCTGGCTTCAGGTCCTGGTGGGCTGCTGGCTAGAGACTAGCTTGTGGTAAGGTCCTTCATGGAGGTGCTAATACAGAAGTAAAATGGCCTGATCACTTGGAGCTGAGATCCCCAGCGATCCCCCTGCCACATTCCCGCAGTTTGAGATTCACAAAGATGAAGCTACCTCCTTCACCCACCAACAGGGCCTCTTTGAGGGTGGGCTCACAACCACCCTTCCCTTTCCCTGCAGAACTCTCATCTCCCATGAGCGCGGGTCCTGCCTGTGTCCACCTCCCCACCCCAGCCTAGCTCCCAAAGCAGAACTCACAGAGGAGATACTCGTGAACACATCCGGCCACCAGGCTCTCCCTTGCCTGGAGCATTTGGCTCTGAGCTCTGTAGTGTGTGTTTGTCATTGGCTAAAATGCAGTGGCTCAGAGTCACACAAAAACAGAGTTGTAGATTAGGTTTGAAAATGAAAATCTGACAGTGTTTTGGCGGATGTCCTGCCCATCACAGCGCAACCTGCAGGGGCACACACACTAGGCTTAAAGTGGAAAGGCAGGAACCTAGATGGTTTTTCTTCCAACTCCACCCATCAGCTCATGGGGATTGGAGAAGGGAGGCCAGGAAGCCAAGAGGGAAGCAGGCCGGGAGGCCGGGAGGTTTGGGGCCTCAGCCAGACTAGGTCCAAAGAACTAGAGGAAGAATCCAAGCACTGCTATCCTTGCAGATGAAGATCTATCTTGGCTGAGAGGAGCAACCAGGGCCTGAGACCTCAGAGAGAGGAGGGGAGTGATGTTTGGGGGAGAGTGAGAGTCACAGTAGGGAAAAGAAAAGGGAGGAAGGTGGGGCAGGCATGGCTGAAGAACAGGACTGGAGTGGTTCTAACTCTGTCTCCTCCATCACCTGGCCCAGCTTGGCTCAGAAATTCCTGCTGCATCGTCAGTCTGGGCTGAGGCCCAGAGAACTGCCAACCTCCTAATTACAGGCATTTCTCACTATGTCGTAGTGGCTGCAGTGAGCCCAGCACCGTAGCTGTTTTGTGTCTTGTAAGAAGTGCTTGCTGCTCTGAGAAATTGCTCTCTTTCTTTCCCGCTTACCCTTCCATCTGCCTCTCACCTGCCTCTGCCCACTCAGCTCTTCTCTGCCATCTCTTCCTCACTGTAATACTTGCCAGCCGTTCTCTCTCACTCGCTGTCCTCACCAAGTTCCTTGATTTTATGCACATACCTCCCAACTGAGCAGTCCAAACCCTGAATACCCCCAGTCAATCTGTCTGTCTGTCTGTCTGTCTGTCTGTCTCTCTCTCTCTCTCACACACACACACACACATATACACACACACACACGCTCCTTTTCTGTTTGGAAGCTCTGAATGGGGCCTGGGGGGAGGGGCAAGGGAATACAGCTTAGTGTTCACCAGCCGCAATATTTCTTTGGTTTTCCTCAGCGAGAATTATCTTAGCCCTTTGACTTCATAAAGAGGCCAAGACTTTGGTTAGACAGCCCTTTCCTTTTGTCTCATGCCTTATCCCTTACCCAAAGCAGATTTCCCCGAAGGAGTCTAGATAGATCCTAATGCATACACTCTTCAGCTGCAAATCTTCATACTGTGGGGGACTGAGACAAACTCACCTTCATTCATTCATTCATTCATTCAATCTCTTAAAAAATATTTATTGAATGCTTACAATGTGCTAGGTGCTGGGGACAGAGATATACTGGGTGGACACCAGCCTCGAATTTGTGAAGTTGAAGGGCTTTGGTGGGAAGGCAGACATTAAACACTAACCACACAAATAATTGGAATCGCAAAGTAATTAATTACAGTTGTGAAAAGTATTAAGAACAAGAACCATTTGGTATTATAAGAAGGTTTGGCTTGCAAGCGGAAGTGGAACCGGAGGGATGAGGCCTGGGAGAGGCTGGCTGGAACAGCCCAGGCCTCTCTTACTTCCTTTCTGGGCTTCTGTACAGTGATGGATTAGGGAGAGGCCAGCAGTTTATTTCCCCTGGAAGCCACGTTGCTAGTGTGGTGCAAGGTACCACGACTCCTGCTATTTAATAAAGAACGCTGCGTGTGTCCTGGGTTGATGGATGAGCAAATATTCCTAATTGAAAAACCATGCTCCCTCCCTGATATGAATGGATAGGAGGGGTGGGGTGAGGTTGAGGCTGGGAGACAGATGGGAAGCCAGGTCTGAACTGTGGGGAGGGTAGAAAGGGTCAGCTGTACTGTTGTTGTCCCTGAGGGGCACAGAACCCCTGCACTGTAGGTGGCTGCTGCCCCCTGATGGGCATAGGGACACAGTTTGGTTTTGTCTTTTAAGGAAGATTTGGGTCCGAAATATTTAAAATTTAGCATTTGTAGGGGGTGTTGCAAAGGGAGGTTGGAACAACCTTCTCAGTGTTCTTTTCCTGCAGCCAGGACCGGGAAGACCATTCCATAGCTGGGGCCCTGAAGCTTGCAATTTGGTCTTTGGGGATAGGATTTCAGTTCCTACGGTGGTGGTGGGGGTGGAGGAGGCAGGAGGGAAGGAGAAAGAAGGAGGAATGTGGAATCCCAAACCTACTTTGTTCAAATGACCTATCACATTCTCCTTTGTCTATTTGTCTCTCTTTATCCTGGATAGAATTAACCCAGTAGGCTTAAAAATCTGTTTTGTAGGGCCGGCCCGTGGCTCACTCGGGAGAGTGTGGTGCTGATAACACCAAGGCC